AAAAAAAAAAAAAAAAAAAAAAAACATCATAGTAAAATTAATACCTTCTCAGCTTCGCATCGAAGCTAACATATACACTATAATATTTTATTTTCAACTGAAATTAATTAAATTTATTATTATTATTAATTTTTTTTATTTTATTGTCCCGGAAGTTATAATGGGCTTATCTTCTTCTTCCTCGCCTTAATTCCAACTATTTGAGGTTTGCCACCCTTATTCTAAACTTCCACGTGACACAATCTCCCACATCATCTACGCTCACATCAGCTGTCCTCATATCGCATTCAATAGCATCCCTCCATCTCTTTTTTGGTCTTCCTCTACCTTTTCTTCCTTCAACATTCATTTCTATAACTGTTCTTACAGATTCCGATTTTTCTCTCCTCATAACATGACCAAACCATCTAAGTCTATTTTCTGTCATCTTATCCACGATTGACGCAACACCTATACTTCCTCTTATATGCTCGTTCCTTATCCTATCTTCTCTAGTCACTCCACTCATCCAACTAAGCATTCTCAACTCTGCTACACTTATTCTCTGTTCTACTTTCTTATTAACCGCCCAACACTTTAAACCATGCATCATAGCTGGTCTCACTACAGTCTTGTAGAATTTACCTTTTAGCCTCATTGGAATTCTTTTATCGCATAAGACGCTAGACGCTTCTCTCCACTTCAACCACCTGTACTTAATCCTGTGTCTTACATCCTCGTCAATACCACCACTCTTTTGCACAACTGACTCTAAATACTTCAAACTTTCCACCTCTCCAATCACGTCTTCGTATATTGTAACTGATAATAAAATAATAATATCATATTGTAAAATACTCTTTAATAGAATAGAAATGAAAAGGGTAACAAGTTTTTTTTTTAGAAATACTGGATCTGGAACGAATTGCGTTTAAAAAGAAATTTTCCCATCACTGAGATTGCATATAAATAATAAGCGTATATATTTATCATCAAAATTAATTTTAACAAATGTACTTTAATATGGGTAATACTTATGCTAAGACAAATATAAATACACATTTACTTATTTAATATGATGATAAAAATGTATATTCTTATTGGTTTTTGATTGAAAATATAAATGTTACAGATTTATAAAAATTTAAAGAATCATTTGTTTGAAGATAAGTCAACTTTTGCGAGACCAAGTTGGTGGAAAGAAATAGCAACAAGATCAAAATTGTAATTTTTGATCTATAGAATAAAATTTGTTAGTTACATAGTTACAGTTACTTAAGATTTACAATACATTTATCTGAAATATTGAATTATTATAAAGACTTTTAAATAAATATGGAATATTTGTTTCCTAAAGTTTGATATCTCATTAATCTATTTGTATGAAATGATTAATTTTGTTACAAAACTTATTATAAGTTTTATTTTTATATATATAAATCAAATAACTTTTGTTTCAAAAAATATTAAATTATTCTTTTTTTAAATTACTTTTACAGGGTTTGGACTATGTTAAAAACAGAGTTGTTTATTATTTATGTAATAAAAAAAAATTACAATAAGTTTTTTTGTTGACTTATTCAATTACATAACATTAATAGCATTAAAAATAAAGTCACCCATTGGTAACACCTCGATTACTTTTAGTTGAAGCTGTATACAAATTATGGTTTTATTGTTATCGTTAATTTTTTAAGTCAATAGGTCTCGGTTCCATTTACGTTTGAGTCTTCGTGGTGGGTTGTCAGGTATTGAAGTTGTGTACATTTTTTTAATTAAGGTGCTTGAATTTATAATAGGTCTTGAGGGAAATCTAGTATAGTGTAAAATTGTAAGTTCTTTGACAGTTTTGATGTTTAAATCTTTGTCTATGTTATTATTTGTTACATATCACAGCGCACCAGTTAACACTCGTAATATATATTTTGAAACGATTGTATTGGTCGAATGTTGGATGGTTTGGCTGGTCCCCATATCTGAATATCATAAGACCAGACTGGTTTGATTATTAACTGATAAATAAGTAATTTTGTTTTGAGAGGTAATTTAGATTTTAGTAATGAACGAAAGAAATGAATTCTGCTGTTGGCTTTTTTCCTTTTGTCTTTCAGATGAGGTCCCCACGTTAGTCGTTTGTCCAAAATTATGCCTAGGTACTTAGTTTCATTATAGGTATTAATTACTGTATTGTTTAATCTCATATCTGGACATTTTTCAGATCTGAGGACGAATGTTACATGACTTGACTTATTTGCATTTATTTTAATTTTCCAGTTCCTGAACCAAGATTCGATGATGTTGACGTGTATTTGTAGATGATGGACAGTTTCGGTAATATTACTATAAGTAGGTAGTATAGCTGTATCATCAGCAAATGTATCAAGAAGAGTATTATTAGACTGAGGTATATCTGCGGTTTAGAGGTCGAGAGACAGGTCATTTCCTGGAGGAACGCCTGCTTGAATTTTGTATTAAGGAGAATTTGCACTGCTTTGTCTTACCGTTAACTTTCTTTCATAAAGATAAAACTTTATTATTAAATATAGATGAGCTGGGAAAAATTTTTTCAGTTTGTAAAGCAGCCCGTTATGCCATACCCTATCAAAGGCTTGGCCTACGTCGAGGAATAGACTAGTACAGTATTTGTGGTTGTCAAATGCTGAGGCTATTGTGTTGATCAACCTATGGACTTGGTGTAAAGTAAAGTGTCTCTCACGGAATCCAAACTGGGTGTTGGGTAAGATGTGATGCTCTTGTAATATTGGCCTAATCCTTTTGAGTAGAAGTTTTACAAATAGTTTGCTTAATGTGGGTAACAGGCTGATCTATCTATATGATGCTGCCATGTTTTTTGTTTTCCCTGGTTTAGGTATAAGGATTATTACGGTTATTTTCTAAATTGACGGAAAGTAAGAAAGACGCATCATACAATTGTAAATATATGTTAGAAATAGAATACCATTTTTTGATAGATTCATCAACACTTTATTTGTGATTAGGTCATACCCAGAAGCTTTACCTTTAGGTAATTTTTTTAATATTTTTTTCAGTTTACATAGGTAGAGGGCATGAGATAAAGTTATTAACCATATTAATATGATTAGAGTGGGGCTTAACGTCTTCATGTGGTTTACATGTATATCAGCAAAAATCGTAGCTTTGTCTTCATCTGATATAAAAAGTATACCGTTATCATTCCGATAAGGTGGGATAATTTCTTTGGTTTGAGCCAGTCGTTTTGTAGCTCTCCAAAATGATTAATCCTTAGCGTTAAATGATCGCATATACTTTGATACTGAACTAATTTGAATTTTAGAAGTTAGTATTTTAGGGTATTAGCTAGTTTATTGTAAAGTTGTTTAAACGAGGGATATCGAGTATTTTGCCATATGGCTCTAACTCTTCTTTTTTCACTAATAAGAGCTATTATATGGACTGGGAGTTTTTCTTCATTTTTACAATTGTTATTATTTAATGACGATAAATTACTTGGTGAGTTTTTGATTAGTGAAACAATATTTTGACCCACATTTACAACGTCGTCGAGGGTTTTGAGAGGAATTTTTAGATTAATTTTTTTTATCTATTTCAATTTTAAATTTATCCCACGATTATTAATTAATAAATAATTATTTACAAAACATGTTGATGTGTTGATAACAACTAAATCCAAACGATAAGTATTTATTGAGTTACAAATAGTGACTAGAATCTAGGAGGGCGGTAAGACTATCCTTTCTCAGAAGCAATGACAAAACTTAAGTTATCTATAGGAACAAGACCTCTAGATAATTGAAGTGTGATGTTATCTTAGTTACTCCAATCTATTGGGTATTATCCGGGTACCTAATATACTCAATTACGTTCTATATTTCTTAATGGTCTGCAATTGAATCTTTATTTGAAACTAATTTGATCAGTTAAAATTTATTTTGTAAAATATAAAATATACTAGAGGACTGTAATCCAAATAAATCAATTTCCATATACTTATTTTTTGAAAATTTTCTAAATTCAAATTACCAGAGTTAATAAATATTATGAAATACGTAGAAAAGAAAAGCGTAATATATGCAGCAAATCTGATAAATTATTAATGTCGTGACAATGTTTAAATTTACTGATTTTAGAATTAATAGAAGGGCTTTACGAATCGGAACAATACTTACCGGGAACTGGAAGAAACAAAACGGGACGTTATAAAAAATAATAATTAGAAATTATATTTATTAAGAACAGTATCGTAGAGAATGACAATCAGCTGTACTGTTTTTTCTCGAGATTGTATTTACTGAGAAGATAATAAAGAAGAATATACTTCAACGAATTGAAATTTTATATGAAAATATAATTCGGAACCTTATTAACTTGGACTTACTGTTATCATAAATGATTTGATAAGCCAATATTAATTCTTTTTCCTTGCCCTTATACCAAGTAGTTTTGGTCGGCAACCCTTATCCTAAATTTCCACTTAACACGATACCCCACATCATCTACGCTCACATCAGCCGTTTTCATATAGCAAAATTCAGCGTTAATCCAACATTTATTAACTAGTTATTATTGATGTAATGGTAGTATTAATTAAAATAATAAAATATAAATAATTCATAAAAACTTGCTAGTGGGCTTTTTATCGGCCTACAACAACAACGTAGTTTATCGCTTGCATAATGACTAGCTATGGTAGCAAAGGTCGCTACCACCTAAGTGAGATGTAACACTTATTAAATATGAATACCAGACCATAGGTGTAATTTAATTAATAACTTAAATTTATTTATTATGTCGTTAGATATAAATGATTATAACACCTTATCGTTTATTAACCACAATTATGATAATAGAAGTTGAAGTGGTTGATATGTAAAACATACTGTAGCCCGTGTCGAGATTAAGGTACAGAGATAAAATACACGTGAGTACTTAAATTACTCGCGCAATAAAATAAATATTATAGTTGAAATCAATAAGGAAATTTAATTTAATTGTTAAAAAAAAGAAAATTAAATTAATGGACAAAAATATGACTGTACCAAATACCATGTTTACAAATAAATCAACAAAAATAAAATATTTAAACAAAATCAAATAATATAACAAATATCACGGACTGTATTGGAACACATTCGTTAATGTTAATCGGAAATCAATGAAAAACACCAGGAGCGGTCTGGACACTAGATCCTTAGCGTTGTTTAGAAGAAATAGGAAACACATGCTCTCCACACATAAATACAATTAGTTAATTTAAAATAAAATAAAAATGGAATAAAATAATTAATAAAATACAGCTCATTACATAAATATAATAATAAAAAAAACGGTAGCACAGTGTGGTCGTGGCATAGATGGGACAAGTATAGATGACATTCGTCTGGCGACAAAAATGGCAATTAAGCTAGTTCAAATTTCAAAGTTTTTTTCTCGAAGCAAAAAAATTTAAATAAATTTAACTTTCTATTCTATGTCAATTAGATTTATATAATGTTTATGAAAATCTGTGTACTCATCTTGTAAGATATTTTTAAATAAAATACAAAACCCAGAATTTTAACACTAAAATAGCATATTTTTGAATACGGTGACTATTTTCACCATGAAAACAAATCCAGAGGTCAATTTTCTTTTTTCAAATATGAGTATATTACATAAGCATTAATTTAAGACATATATAAAAGCGTCAGTATTTCCGGAACATTATCAAAAAGTTATAGTGACATAAAGTTGAAAAATGTAAAATATAATATCAAGTGTAACGTCACAAATTCGAAGGTGGACCGTTTATGATTTTTTGTTATGTCTACTTATTTATTTTATCGCGTGAAAGAACCTTTTTCTGATACAGCGGTGTCAACCACTCATTATTTTGCCGCTGACCGCTAGATAAGGCGATAAAAGAGAAATATAATTAAAATCGAATTGTTTATCAGTATTGATCCCTTCCAAAAAGACTGGCCGTTATCGATTTGAAATTGCCGTTAGATCGGTGTTGACTCTTTTCTTTTCTTTCTTCTGTCATTGACCGTGCTAGGGTGCACACGTTTATTTTTTTATTGACACTTTTTAACACGCTTATATTAGTTTCACCTGAATGTATGTATGTAACTCTCCAAACGCCACGCGTTATCGCATATTCCTTCGTCTAGACTAGACTATCATAACGCATTCACCCCACCCCACGCCACGCTCAACACACGTCGGCAATACTATTCCTGTATAAATTTATTTTTGGTTATCGTACCCGTACACACGTGCGTGTCATCAATATTATATGTATATTAGGGTGTCCCTTATTTTGAAAATTTTGGAAATTCTTCGGGCTCACCCCCCAAATTTGTGTGTATACATATAAAAAGTGGCTACAAAAAATTCCAGGCCGATCAGATAAGTTTAACCCGTGCCGACTTGGGGTTGAAAATCGGCCAAAAGGGGTACTTTTTTAGTTTTTAGCAA